AATAATGCCGAGAACTTTAACCTGTTCCAGTTTTTTTAAAGCAACTCCGTTAATACTAGCTACTATTAAATTTATTATATTTTCGCGAAAATTTTACATGAAAACATTTGTTTGTGTTAAGACTCATAGAGTTTTTCCGACACCATTCAGTGACTCCGTTTATATCTTCTTGAAGTTGAATTTGATCAGCTACGTTACACATTACTTTTGATAAGTTTAGGTCATCAGCTTAGTTCGAAATCAGAGTTGCATATGCAATATTTTATATCATCAATAAACATAACAAAGAGAATTGGACCAAGGTGTGAGCCCTGTGGAACACCCGGTATTGAAATCGGTTCTCAAAAAAATACAATCGAATTGAGGACATTTTTTTAAAGTCGGTTAAAAAGTGATTTAATGAAGAGTCAACGAACAGGAGGTACTTTGTCATTGTCAGATAGTTTTCTGCGTTTTCGTTGGGCACACAGTTGGGCAACCAAGTACAACAAAACATTTCTTGTCTTGCTTGTACTATTCAGTAAGTCACCGAGGACGTGGAGGACGTTAGAGGTTCTATTGTTTAAGCAACTTGTGTAATTGATTTGTGTAACCTATAATCACCTCATTTTGCAGAGAAAAATCTGGACAGAATGGAGAAGCGAATGAGTTCATTCGTGCGATACTGGTGTGAGTCATGGACAGGACACATTGGTGAACCACCCGAGCCAGCTGACTTCCTCAAATATTTGACAGAAGCTGATGTTTTCTTGTAAGATTATGCAAATGATGTGGTCCTAAGTTCGATTATACCTAATAGAGTGACTCGATACCTTACTTTCTCAAACTCGTAATCTATCGTATCAAAGAGTGATTATTCAGGGGATGGTAAAGCTTTCTATTTATTTTAAATTTCTTATCAATGTTTTGGTTTTAATTTGGACGCATTACTTTAAGAATAATGTGAATGTGATGAAATCAGCCTGCACAATTTGTATATACCATTGACTTACAAATAAATGGACGACGGGTCTAATACAAAAAGCACGAAAAAAATGTCCCAAGTCAACCTATTTAAACGTAGTGACATGTAAAGGAATATGAAAAAGCTAAAGCGTTGAATTTAAATTGTAATGTCATCGCAGTACTGTCTAATTTTGCTTGCTTCGCTGTCAGTCGAACAAACGAAGACTAAAGCGTGAATGACGCTCTGTATACGATTTTAACGCCCTATAAGTTCGGACACTTTTTAGCGCGGACCCGACGTCCATATAATTGTAAGTCAATGGTATATACAATCTTTTTTTTACATTTCAGTAACTTTGTGCTTAAAGATACGAGTTTCAGAAAGTAAGGCGACGAATTGTCTCTTACTTGAAATAAAATTGACAGTTATTAATGATAATTAGGTATCGGAATTGACAAACTATATTTTTCTAAACTTCAAGTAGTACACATAGAGTTAATCTCAGATAGATAGCAACAAGTTGTGATAGAATATTATACAGTTATCGTTATTGAGTTGCAGCGTAATCTGTTTTTGTTTCGTGATTTTATTATATAACATGCAGTCTGCTAGTAAAAGAACAGTAGGTAGCCTATTAGGAGAATGGTTGCTTTCTTTCTAATCTCGATGGTGAATTTTAATTTATTTAGCAATACCTCTCACTAAACGTGTAGCATGTCTGTGTGGTGTCCATCAGACAGTGATACATCTTTTCTCCTGCCCTGAGTATCCGTACGTGTGCAAGCGTACTGGTAGTCCTCACCAGAGATGGGCAAGTTTTAACCCGGCGTGTTGTTAACTAAGAATTGGTTAAAACCAATTCTTAGTTATATATTATAGTTATAATCTCTATTAAAATAGAGTTAAAACCCATTAACGCCCGAAATGGAGGGCGTAAACTATTTACAATTAAAATATATTTGTAAGTCGAGTTTTGTTCAAATTTAATGATATTACTAAAAATGTTTGTGTATTTTATCTTTCTATGAAATAAACTATTAAATCGATTAGCATGAAAATAGCATTGAAATGAATCGATACAAAAACTCGTATCGTATACACTTGAATCGATTATCATACCGGTGCTTTGGGTAGAAACCCGGTTGATTGGGTTGAAACCCACTGTCCGTCTCTGGTCCTTGCAATAAACGTCAGAGTCGACACGCCAAGAAGAAGAACGGTGAAGAAGGACCGTCGGCGTTGCAGGTTCTGCGGCCACGGCGACGGCTGCCGCTTCGCGTCGGGCGGCGCGGGCGCGGGGGTGGAGGGCGCGCGCGGCGCGGGCGTGGCCGTGCTGTCGGGCTGCGGCTCCGTGCGCCTGCTGCACCCGCCGGGCCGGGGCGCGCCCGCCGCCGCACACCACCACCTGCACATCGCCGGCAGGTGGGTCGACGTCTAGCACTGCCAACTGCGTGCAGATGTGGACGTCGAAGTCCGAGAATCAAAACTAGCAGTTGACATTCTTAAGAGAATATATCGCACGGCCAATGCAATAGTGTATTAACTCAAAAAGTGAATTTATTCAGGATAGCTGAAAAACTAATTACTCAGTCCCCGTGAAAGATTATTATAATTTATGTATAGGTTAAAATTTATTACACGTCTAAACAACTTTTATTTGCAAAGTAGAAGTATATTTGAAAATAAAAGTAAAAAAATCATTTCATATTTTTGAATAAAGACTGTTTTATTCAGAACTACCTCACGAAACGTTTATCTCATTCTGGGTTAAGTAGATATACTTGGTACTTGGTGTAACGGGCTGGTGTCCGCAACTCGACGTCAAGGCGCCTATTTTGCGTGTGAAAGTAGATATATTTTCATGGTTTCTTACAATATTCTAATGACAATTTTATTGACGTGTAGAGAAACAAATGTACGTTCACAAATGGTGTAATCTTGAATTTCACGTATTTTCAGTTACAACACTATTGAAATAGCAATGCCTAACGTCAAAAGGTAACGATTACTTGAGGATGTAAACTATTTACAATTAAAATATATTTGTAATTCGAGTTTTATTTAGTATAATATCAAGTGACGGAACGAACAAGTCATGCGCCTGCTGATAAGCGACACGCCTATCCATAACAGTTGCAGTGCCACTCAGAGCTTTAAATCGCAAAGATCTGAGGAGCACTGCCACTGCGCCCGTCACATTGAAACATAAGTTGATAAGTCCCTAGTGCCTGTAATTTTACCAGCATCCTTATACTTCAAAACCACAACGCAGTAATGCTCAAACTCACATTACTGCTTGGCTGCAAAATAGGTAAGGTGGCAGTACTTTCCTGGACGAACTCATTCACAAGGAGCTCTATTGCTACAAAAGTTCTCACGGTTGGCGTTACGCCGTTTAAACTCGGTACAAAGATCCGCCACAATCACAATATATTCGTAAAATCTGCTAGTTCGCTCCGTGGAGCAGTTGACGGCGGGGTTGCCACGTTGAGGCAACAGTCGCTGGTTCGAGACCATACTGGTCGAAGAAATTTTTCTTTGTTTTCATTCTATCTTTGTACCAATAACTATTTTCGGTATGTTTCCAGCCCAATGGTAGTTGGCATGTTGTGGGAAGTGACAGACCTTGAAGTAGATAAGGTGGTGAGTACGCTGTTGTCGCTGTACGTGCCATCGACTGCACCGCTTCCCTGGGCCGCTGTGGGGAAGGCGAAATGGAGCCAGGGGATTTTGGGTATGTAAGTTAACAGTAAGGCTTAATTTATATTGCGGCCGAATGGAATGGATTTGTAATGATATTGTTGAATTCTCACGAATGCGCGAGTGTTCTCGAACATTCGCGAGAATTCTGCGAATGATTTTGGCTTGTATCTACTTTGTGAGTTACACAATTGACAATAACAAGAAAGGAAGGTTACAACAAATAATGTCCTGAAAAGGTTTCGCTTTAGCACAATGCTGCCAACATTGTTGCTCGTGCTAGCTGCTCGCGGCAGCAAACAGTCGGCGGCATATCGTTCCAAAAATTCCATTCCGTTCTGCTGCAATATAATTTAAGCCTAATAGTAGAGTATAAAGTATTTAGCGAAATTGGACGTTTCCGGGGTTTTAAAACGAAAAAACATGCTCTTTGTATCTAGTTGTATAATTACTCCCTGTATATTATATATGACCTATATATAATAATAATAATTTATTTCGGTTTATCTCCATATCGTGTTAGTAACAATTGTAACCTTATGACTAAGTACAAATTTTTTATAACATTATTCACTTCTGACTGTCGCATTGTGAAGCCTCCCATGCCTGTATAAATGGGCCGTCGACTCTGGTCGCAACAATAGCCAGGAGGCTGTTAGGGCTGCCGCGCACGCGCCGCATCAACGACACAACGCGCTTACGCATAATGGCGTGAAACCCGTCCGTTCGCGTCTCCGCGAACATCAAGGACGCACTGCAATGGCGCGGCAGCCCCAACAACATCCTGAACGCGTTGTTGTATTGGAATCTTAGGGCGCTGTATGCCTCTAGCGTATAGTGGGTCCATAGGCTGCAAGTGTAAAATGATTGTCAGTATGTTCTAAAGAGCGTAATTTTTACTTCCTTTGTGCGCTTTGCAAACCTACGGATCGACATGTTACTTCTGACTGCCAGCGCCCTACGCTCCCTCTATATACGCTATATATTATAGTTTGTCAGCTTATTAAGTCCCGATTTAAGGGACAATGTATTGTAACGGAAAGTTACAACGTTGTGAAATTATTTTTTTATAAATCGTTTTTTTAAATTTAACAGTATTAAAAAATTTAACACAAATGTTTCTTCAACAAATATATCATATTTTTAAATAATAATTGATTACAAAACATTAAAACCACCATAGACAAAGTTGGTTAATTAATCTATGGCAACCAACGTTGCATTTTTAAATGATGACTGCGTCGGTGAGAGGGGAGCGCGGTATCCGTCGCCAGCGCCCGCCGGCTCAGTGAGACAGCACTTCAACGTCTTCTTACTTCATTATACACATAACTCACTCTCACTTCACAGTCACTTCTATATACACATAATAAATTTCCGGGTGATATTCAAAATTTGCCATTTACGAGGTTTAAAACTATAGTGAAACATAAACTTTATTCTAAAGAATATTTGTTATACAGCTTTTGCATACTTGGATGACAAAAATCCGTGAAAGTGACCCGTTTAGTTCTTGCAGATATTCTCGATTCTCAAATCATCTCAATGTTTGAGATAAATATTGTAAATGATAAATGTATTCAAAGTATATTTACGAAGACCCTTAGAGTTGTTCATTCGTCTTAGGGGAATCTGCCTTACGAATGAGCAGTAGAGTTTAGTAGAGTACAATATGACAACTTCGAGTGTAATTTGCTTACCTGTGAAATAAAGATGATTTGGGCCTTAGTTGTCCATGGTACTACCAACCGGGCAATAATAATCTCCCATGTTACTACCGACAGGCCTAGTAGTATCACGGGTAATTGTTATTGGCCGTGGTACTACCACTAGTAATACGGGCAATAATACTTTCCCGTATTACTACTACCAAGATAAGAAGCGTTTTATTAATTTCATAAAACAAACAAAATAAAAGCCAAACAATACAATAAAAATGCATCTAGAGCTAATTATGTAGGATGGCCGCAGTGGAGATGAAGTAAAGACGAGAAAATATGATGAATAACTATATTAAATTTCCCCAAAGGTATTTCTTAAACTAAATCATTTTGAGAACGTCCGGAGTTAGGTACGTTATGTCTAAAAGTACTTATACGAAAAAGATTTTAACTAAAGGAATTTAGTCTACGAGTTTAGTCCGATGTTAGGAACGTTGGGCCTAAAAGTGTCTCATAATTATAATTAAAATGACGAGTTTTGCATCAGTCACGTTGCAATGCACGGGGCGCGCGTTCCGGGGTGCGCGAATGCCAGTGCATTGACCTGACGTTTTAGGTATGTGTGTTATGTGCAAAGCTGGATACATAACAAGCGCAGTGTTAGTTGTCTTAAAAAGTAACATTTATGTTATTGGAATTAAAATTTTGGCACGATTAAACCTTGAATGGGTTCGCGAAGTTGCAAATTAATTGACTTCTATTTTTGTTATAAAAGTTGTTGCTTCTAATGTAACTTGCAAAGGTCGCTCTATGAGTATTTTATTTCCAGATACAACGGCTGAACCAAAGTCACAATTCGTGCCAGAACCAAATCTTCTCCTGGCAATATCACGGGCAAGGGGTTCTTCCAACTTCGTGATGATTGCTAGCAGCGTAGTGGCCAGGGGACTGCCAATGAGGATAGGGGCGTAATTAATGTTGATAATCAGTGGTAACTGCTGGTAGTTAGTTATAAGGTAGTTCGTTTATATGTAATTTTAAATGATAAGCAATTTTTTTTTAAATGTTGTAGGTAGGAGATTTTGCTTCGTGATGATATTATTTCATTTTTAAAAGCAAGTAATACCATGGAACAATAATAAGGGAGAAAGCTAATCTCCATATTTCAGATCGTAGTTCTGAAAAAGGCCGAAATTCTATATCATATCCAGATGGCGCTTATCAATAGCCTGGAAGTAGTTCATATTATGTAAATGTAAGAAGTCACTTTCTCTCTCGCCTGTCTTCATGTTTTCATACCTTACATTGATTACATGTGACAGTCATATAAACTACTATTTTGAACGTTGACAAATATGTGTGTCACTAGATGGCATTGTGTGTTACAAACTAATTTAAAAATTAACGCAAATTTAGTAGCAAAAGAGCTCCTTGTGAAAGACGTCGTCCAGGGTAGAACTGCCACCTTATTTATTTCTGCTCCTAAGCAGTAATGTCAGCATTACTGTGTTCCGGTTTGGAAGGGTAAGAGTGCTGGTGAAATTACAGAAACTTGTCAACTTATGTCTCAGGGTGACGGGTGCAGTGGAAGTGCCCCCTCAGATCTTTGCGATCTAAACCTCTAAATAGCACTGCAAATGTTATGGACAGGCTTACTATCAGGCGCACGATCTTGCTCGTCAATTCACTTGATATTATATAAAAAAAAAAATTGGGTAGATGGCGCTAATCCTAAACAAAACAAAAGAATAGCCTATCCAGAAAACCCGTGCAATAAGCGCCATCTAGTTGATTTGTTAGTTACCACTAGAAATTAGAGAAGCTTTGATAAATTGCAGCTTGTGAATGTAAAACAAATTAGTTACAAAAAATTGATATTTGGTACTCGTCGCGACATCTGGTGTACCAATAGGTACTAAACACCGGACTACGCTGTCTTCTATCGCGGTTAGCCGGTACTCTAATGTGATTGGTAAATTGTTATACTGCATTCAAAGACTTATAAAAAGTTGCTTATTTCATCTAAGAGTCGAACCGACAAAATGTAAAAAAAAACTGTATTTTTATAATGCCGATTGAAAGGGCCAATTATATTATATGGATTAATAATTTTAAGTAATATAATATCTTAAGATAGTTTTAGGAAAGTTAGATTAGGATGTATTTAAGCCGTAGAACACTATGACTTTTGGATCTTAACACTTTTTTTGTACTACTATAAATATTCATGAACGGCTTGAACGTAAGTTTGTATGGAAATTACTACATTTTATCTACAACAAGTGTTGTTTGTTTCATTCAAACACCTAACTGTAAAGTGCCATCAATTTATCTTTGACATAAAAAAATACCAAATGAATATAGAAAGCTAATACGTTAAAAAACCATCAAGTGGACAGTTATTTCATACGGTTACTGGTTATAAATAGATTATATGGATAATTATGGATATAAGTAGTCTCTAACGACACGACTTATATCGGAGATAAATTTGTGAATTTTTTAACAAGGAATTGACGTAATGTGAACTTTTGTAAATAAACCTTAAATCATTACTAAATAAAATACATTATGGATGATTTTTAATTTTTATTTATTTTGCTGTGTCGTAATATCGCAATTAGTATTTTAAAAACAATATTCACCCAAATAAAAAAAGCCGTTGTAAAAAAAAATTGCCGTTGTTGCCCAATGGTTTGACCTACTTCCTTTCTAGCAGATTATGTATATAAAATATACAAGATTTCCATAAATATCATATTTCAATAATCTCAGTGGCCCAATTGTTTGCACTGCAGGCGTTTGATGAGGAGGGCCTGGGTTCGATTCTCGGTAAGACCAATTTGGAAAATAAACTTCTTGAATTGAATCAGATCTAGCGGTTCTCGAGATTGAAGAATGTTGCCGCTAGAATAACCTTATTAAAGTGTGGACAGTAGCCCTTATAACTTTGAAGCGATTCGACTGTCCGACTAAAGTAGTTTTTGCAACTAGAACCGATTTTATTATTATTTATTTATTGACCATTAGCTATAGAGCCATCAGCTTAAAAAGATAACAAATAAGTGGACGTAGTTAAACAAAAAGGATCCAATGCACATCCAGTCACTTTCGAGATATGGCAGTTTGAAGTTTAAAAGTGTTTCTCACTCTTGTTTTATTTTCAAAACTTGTAATGTAACCTCCAGAGATATTTATTTATGTTTATATGTTGGATATTTTTGCTGATCGAAGAGGTTAGACTTTAGGAACCGTTTGGTATATAAAACTCATTTTATGATAATTTTATGGATTGGATCTTTTTTGCTTAACTACGTCCAATTAAGAAACTAAAAACATAAACTTTAATTGATGTAACTAAAAAAACTAAGAATGAATTGATGTAAAAACTGTTACCACAAAAACCCGTCATTCTTTTGAAGTTATAGTTTTGTTATTAGATACTTATTTATTGAGTTGCTTGAAGACGTTGGTTCGAATCCAGCCCAATCGAAGGATTTTTTCTATTATAATAAACTATGTGTTAACTGGCTCCGTGGCCGAGTGGTTACCGTGCCGGACTACCACGCAGAGGTTCCAGGTCCGATTCCCGGGCCGGGAGAAATATTTGTATGGCCTACATTTATTTCTCTCGTGAGTTTGGGTGTAATTTTTGGTTGTCTATGAGTATATCCATCGCACCCGCGTCACAGGGTTTCCCTAGTGCGGGGCTATGTTGAGTGTGTTACTAAGTGGAGTCTTTTCACAAAAATAATTGGATTTTCAAGCGGTCAAACATCGCGACATTCAACAAAACTTAAAAATTACTTAGATAATTTTATTCTAAAGTTATCTTAGCAAGCTAACATTTGGTTAAGTTGGCGTTTCCACTTGAGTTCGTCTATATCTATATGTAACACCAGGTATGGACTCTTCTACAACCAAACCCAGATTTATTATCAGCTATTATACTTAGATTTCTTATACTAATAGGTATGTGGTTGCAGAGACTCAGCATATTGCTATTCTTCAACCTCTCCCTATGTTTCTTGTCGTACATTGTCGGAACATGGCTTCTAAACAAAATGTTTTACGAATTAGTTCAACGTCAGAAATTAATCCTTAAAATTCGACGACGAGGTTGGTTGTTAAAATAAGAGGCAGTTTTTTCGCGTTTTTGAACGTCTAAGCCTGCGATGTCAACATCGAAGTAGGCTCCCTAACATCTCGCATGGCTCTTGCGGAGTGCGTGGGTGGACGAGGGGACGGCGAGGGGCGAGTGCGGCGGCGCCGGGAAGAGGGTGGCGTTCGTTCTTTTGCTTCTGCCGCACGTTGCAAGGCCTGGAAAATAAACACATATGAGGAACACTGTAAACTATTTTGATTGGATACTACATTAAGTACGACTACCTGAGAGGCGGGAAAAACTGCTTTGTTAGATCAAATCGTGCAGGTATTTACTATTTAAAAACTATTTTTACAAAAGATTAACGATGCACTTATACATTTAGCATAGTGTCTAAAGAATGTGCTAATGTGTGACACGATACGGACGTGCTTTATCCGATCATACAAAATCATGAAAAAAAAAGTCTACAATAAATTATTTAAGAATAAAATGTGTAACTTTGTAACGTTGTTTTTATGTGGAGATATTTCTCTAGTAGGTACTACCGAGAACCTGCTATAAACATTAGCAAAATCATAGTTAATAGAATTCGTTAGCGTCTTCTAATGTCTTAAATTATAAGTTTGAATAAAATAAATTCATTACGTTTTTCAAATTATAATAGCGGCCTGTCTGGAAATGAAATCATATTTAAAAGAAACTCTAATGACTAATTAGTATGTAACCGGACTGATATCTACATCTATCAATTTCTTAGTTTCTTAACGTTGAGCGACATCTAGCCGCCAAAAAAAGGAATTTCAGGACCTACGTATGGATGTCCATATTTAGTTCACGTTACGTAATGTAATATCAAATGCACTGATTAGACCGATTTATAATAAGCTAAAAAAAGATAACTCATTACAAAAAATTAAGTCGATAATTTCTTCTCCAATAAAAAGCCACGCGAGAAAATGGTAAAACTGACCAAAAGTTCCCAAACTCAGGGATTGGTGACACGTTTCACAAAAAAATAAATTTGTGTCCGAGTTACCAGTGCAATAGGCTATGGTATGTTATTAATTAACTCCAGTTTTATTTGTTATGGCTTAACTTCATGCCTTTTGACCATACCAGTACACAAAATAATTTTCTCTGAATTTTCGTCTCGTAACAAACCCACGGCCCCATTCAGTTCTATTATCTCTGTTTAAGGCTTCTGTAGTTTAGTTTGATATAATAATACGCCGAATATATTTTATTCTATTACGTGACATATAACCTCCAATTACGTAACATATAACCTCCAAAACTTCCAACTGGAATATCTTTAGTTCCTGAGTTCTCAGAATATTAAACCCAAAACAAAATTTGTTCACATATTTTTCATAAACAGACGCATACAAATTATGTGAACAAAAATTTGTTCGGGAGTTTGCCACTGTCCCTTCGATTTTCAACTGAAGCCCTACTAGTGATTAAATTCACATTTATCTCAAAATTTGCAAATTGCCATCGGGCGCTAGTTGACATCGTCGACAACGTTGTAATCGTCGTTTGATTCTGTCTTGTATGCATAACTATATCAGCGCAAGCACGGTGCTGGTAATTTGCTGGTAAATCGAGTGTGAATGGACCCTAATCGTTACTAACCTCGTCAATCTTAATCAACTCAACCATTTCCACAACTTTCTTCTCCAAGCCCTTTATATACAAACGCGCATTGGTCGCGTTTATGTCGATGGACTTGCCTAGCAGACGTAATAGAGGAAGGGAGTCGCATTCCGAGGACCTGCGATAATAAAATTTCGGTCTGTACAAGGAGTAACTATTTAAGACATTTTAGCTGGTGTTTAGAATCGTGAAAGAACAATTTGCTGAATTACTAATAAAGAAATTTAGTTCTCCTCATCCAAATATCGTATTGTCATGGTATGGTATTATAACTCAAGAGACTGCTAATACAATACATGATAGCGGTATTTTCCACAAATCCCCACTGGTGGAGATCCTAAAGTTTGATTTAATTTGATTTCACAAATCCCCACTGGCATAGTACTCGCTACGCAGATTTAACAAAGTATCGAACCTTTTATACTTTTTAAAAGAAAACACGCGCTGGGTCGATGACATAGTAAAAAGTAAATCAAATTAGTATCCCCACTAGTGGGGATTTTTAGTGGTGATTTCTAGAACATACCAAGAAAGCCTAGTCAAGTATTTAGTACCTATTGGTACACTAGATGTCGCGACAAGTACCAAATAGCTATTTTTGTATTTTTTAATTCATATTGGACTATATTTTTGTAACTAATTTGCTTTACATTCTGCCGTTCACTAACTAAAACGCGGCTAAAGT